CATTTCTGCTGCGTCTTCCTCAGTCCTGACCTTCACCTCTTGCCTGGCTCATTGCTACTCTTCTATCAGGTGTCAACTAAAACACCACTTCCTCAGGAACACCTCTGACTTCTCGATCTAATTTCCGTCTCTGTTGTTAGAGTCGTACTGTTCTCAGACTACCTGTCCCATTTGTAATTGTGTATTTATTTATTATGTTTAGTGTTTGTTTCATCCACTAGAATCAATTCCATGAATCAAAGACCGTGTCTGTTTTGGTCACTGTTGTACCTCCATTCCTAGCATTGTACTTGACACATAGTAGATATGAAATAAGTATTTGTTGAATGACTGACATACTTACAGGAGCCTTCAACTAGCTGACCTCTAAGGGGCTTGCACCTTTATCTGTCTGTCACACTACTGCCAAAGTGTCTTTTCTTTTTTTTTCTTCAAAATGCAGAACTGACAGTGTTGTCTGCGTTGCCTTTGGAAAGTCCAAGTTCTTTAAAATGACACAAGGTCCTGTTCTGCTTAATATTCAAGGCTTATCTCTTACCACATCCACACCCACTTTGTGCTCTGGCAACATCAAGCTGGTGTCCAGTGTGCATAAATGCTGTTTTTACACACATGCCTTTGTGTATGCTATTCACTTTGCCTGGAATGCTGCCTTCTTATCTTACAAACTCTGTTAATCCTTCAGAACACTGTCCACATATCACAACACTGTCCACATTTCACTTCCTCTGCACCACTCTTTCTCATGACCATTTCCTCTCTTCACCAGTAAGGAATGATGCCCTCTTCCACAACCGTTCTGTGCATTATGCATACTTGATTACATTTTATTCTGTATTGTATGTCTTTTTTAGGGGGTGGGGGGAACTATGGGAGTATAAGTGGGGAATAGAATAAAAATAAATCCTTTAGTTTTTCTATTTTGAAATAATACCTTTTAAATGACTTTAAAGTATGTAAGCTGATATTAAAGTTAGATATTAAAAGAAGACCCCAAGTATCAGTATGAATGACGATTGGTGAAAGCTAAGTAAATGTTAGCTTGTAATTAGTCATGTGATTACATGCGCCTTGCGTTTCAGACTTTGTCAATGGAGCCCTAAGTAAGCTGAGATCTAACAGAACACCCTCCTTCACACCTCAGCGAGAAAGAGCCGGTGGGTAGCGAATGTGCTTCTTTAAATGAAAGTGTGTCTCACATTCTACAGAATAAGTGCAATAATAATTATCTAACTTAATTTGGTTTAATCAAATTCAGATATTTTCAATGGAGATTATATATGCTATCTTGTGATATTGCTGATTTCATATCAGATATAATGGACTAGGTAAGAATCTGTTTTAGTCTATTGTTTTATCTTCAATCTTCTTGATCATGCTTTTTTTGTTGCTTGTAACTTGGATATTATTGAACATGTGAAAATAGCCCCAGTGGATTGCCTATCTTATTTATGCTCTGCCTAAAAACAAAGCATATGCATTTAAACACGCACAAGACTTCTTTTTTATTTTAGAACCAAAAGTTGAATTAGTATATACCAATTTTTTTATCCTAGTTTGCTTGTGGCTGAAATTGTCCAGCCCAATGGATGAACAGACTGTGATCTTTCATTTTATTTTCCATATTGAAGGAGTTAACTGAAGTTTATATTCAGTTATGATGAAAAGCAGAAACACTTAGATCAGTTTTTTGTTGGAACTCCTATAATTCTTTCCTGCGTTAATATTCTTTAATGTGTATTATGCCATCTCTTAGTCTACTTGGTTTAAGTTAATGCGGTTTATTAATAATCTTGCCTCTTATGATGTCACTGTTTTCATTTTAAGTTACTACACAGTGTTCATTCTTGCATAGCATGTATTTGGCATTGTGAGTGTATCCCTCTGCCCTTTTTGGTTAGCTCTAAGTAATAGCTTTATAAGAAGAAATTATGTAAAGCTTTTGTATTTTATCAACTGTGGGAGAAACAACAAATCGGTTTTTGTTTTTTTTCTTTCAGCCCAGGTGTCTGTATCCCCAATGATTCTTACCCCAAGTGCTAAGCGTAAACTGCCGGTAGAGTCCTCGCATGGCTTCTCAAGTAAGAAAAGGAAGTCCAGCAAGCACAGTTTCAACCTGGAGCTGTTGCCAAGCAGCCTCTTCAGTAGCGGTTCTACACCAGTATCAGGTAACAACCAGAAGTCATGTAATTCGGTCATAAACCTTGACATGCCTATTCTGGGCAGCGTGCTATTTTACATGAATACCACCCTTTAGGAGCCACCCTTTATTCCATGTTTTGTCAAATCTCTGGATTTTTGTAAGGTCTCCTGTCCTTTACAATGTTGTTGTTGCTGTTGTGTGCCGTGGTCCGACTCATACAACCCTGTGTGACAGAGCAGGACTGCCCTGTACGGTCCCCTAGGCTCTGATCTTTATAGGAGTAGATCTCCAGGTCTTTTCTCCCACAGAGTGGCTGGGGGGTTTGAGCCACTGACCTTTTGGTTAGCATCCAAGCACTTAACCATTGTGCCGCTGAGGCTCCTAGGTACACTACAGTAATATTTATATTCATTATTTCACTAAAGTCATGTAGTAAGTGATGGGGCAGATTTAAGTCTGTCTGGCTGCAAAGCTTGCTCTTCCTCCAAACCGCAGCAGTGCCCACCCTCACTTGTATTATTAAAAGAGCTTAAAGCAAAAGCCTTAACAGTTATGTTTAATCTGTCTTTTAATTGGCAACTAAAAAGTAATAAATAGATTTTTTTGTGTGTTGAGTTGAGTTAGATAGCACCTGAAGCTTCTAACCAGAATTTATGTGATTCTTGTGGTTGCTTGAAGGAGCCCTGGTGGCGCAGTGGTTAAGCGCTTCGCTACTAACCAAAAGGGCGGTGGTTCGAAGCCATCATCCGCTCCACGGGAGAAAGATGTGGCAGTCTGCGTTCATAAAGATTACAGCCTTGGAAACCCTATGGGGCAGTTCTACTCTGTCCCACAGGGTCACTATGAGTTGGAATCGACTGGACAGCCGTGGGTTTGGGGTTTTGGTGGTTACTTGGTGGAGGAAGGTAGATTAAGACTTGAAATCTTTTAAAATTACTGCTGTTAATAGTTTATACTTTGAAAAGGAAATAAATGTGTGTGATGTTATTACTTGTGGTTATTTTTATAGTTCACTTGGATTCAAGTCCAGACGGGCCATCTCAGAGTTCACTGTCTCCTAAGGCCATCAGTGGAAACCAGATCAGTACAGGTGTCCAAAGGAGAAGTCAGAGGATTGCGGGCAAGAAAGTTTGCAGGTAATTTATCCAGAACATTTTCTTTTTATTGGATAAATATTTGGGGTGTTTGTGTAAGCGTATGTATGTATGTATATATATTTTAATGCAAATAATGCACATTATACATTTTTTTGACAATTACACAACCCCCCACACATTATTTTCATACGTGCATATGCCAGTTTGTTTTTACATGTTGCTGACTTCAATTTCTGATCACATGGAAACTTCACTTAAGGTAGATATTATCGAGTTAATAGAAACAAACTCACAGTTTCAGTTTATTTTCTGATTCCTGGGGGACCACCAAATTCTGTCCATGACTTCTTGACTTTAGCTTATAGCTTTATTATACAGTTATGATCAGAAGTAACATTTTTGGATTTTTTTATACACATAAGCAGGAGATTAAAGAAAATGAACAGAATGATATGATTTACCTGTAATGTGTGAGGACGGGTGAATGAGGCTGAAATTCCCTTCTGGAAATGTCAGGAGACTTGAGCAGTATATGCATGGGTGTGCTATGCCAGAACTGTTTTACTTAATTTCATCATCTCTGCACGTTATATGTGTGAGCGCATTATTTACAAACTAAATCTGGTGTATGTATGTATGTGGGTGTGGGTGTGTTTAATAAAATATTCATCTCCCTATAGAGAATTATGCTTGAATTATTTTAACCATAATAAAAAATTACCTATTGCCCTCATTCTTACTAATCAAGTGTTTTGTATATATCCATCAGAGAAAGATTTCTAACCTGAGCCCACTTTACTTGCTTAAAATCCTGTTTTGCGTTGGTGTAATTTTAAATTTTCCTGTTAGTTTAAAGCAAGTCTATTCTAATTGATCCTAGTTTAGAAATGATCAAACTGCATGATTAACGGGAAAGATCATTCTTATATACAGTAAAACCTGTGAAAGCTGGAACCTGTGTAAGGCAGAAACTCATCAGAGAAGGAAAACTCAAATTTTTTGTCACTAAAACAAGCGGGAGACGAGTGGTACTTTGTCAAAGGTGGAAAACTTACGAGACCTGGAAGAACAAGGCAGTCCTGTTGAGTTCCGGCTCTCACAGGTTTCACTGTATAAACGTAGTGTACTCATGTATGGTATTTTAAAGTTTAACTAATAATAGAAAAGTATTACTCTATTCAGTATTAGCAGTATGATTTGCTGTAGATTGTCTCTCAAATTTCATATTGCAGGAGTTTCTGTGGTGTTTTATGCTATAGGAATAAACTGACATGTTTAATTCTACTCTTTTTAGGGTAGAATCAGGAAAATCAGGCTGTTTCTCCCCTAAAATCAGTCGTAAAGAAAAGGTTCGAAGATCTCTACGTTTGAAATTTAGTCTGGGGAAAAGTAACAGAGACGTAGTAAGTATCGTTCACCATTTCATTGATTGTTTCTATTAGCATAAAAATGTAGACTTGGTGCTAAAAAGACCCGCTTCACCCTGCCTCCCCTCCAGCTACTGTCCCATTCTGTACTCTGCTTTATAGCAAAATCCCTGTACTGGAGTTGATATCTCCAATTCCTCTTTGTTACTTTGCTTAAACCTATTCCTGTCAGCCTTGCATCAGATGACATTGCTGTCATCGAAGTCACCAATGAATTCAACCTTGCTCAAGCCAGAGGTCAAATGTTGTTGTTAGGGGGCCGTGGAGTCGATTTCTGACTCACAGTGACCCCATGTGACAGAGTAGAACTTCCCCATAGGGTTTTCTAGGCCGCAGTCTTTACGGGAGCAGATCTCCAGGTCTTTCTCCCACAGAGCCTCTGGGTGGTTGGAACCGCCATCCTTTTGTTTAGAAGCCGAGGGCTTAACCATTGTGCCATGAGGACTGCTTGGTCGGATATCAGTCCTTATTTCACTTGGCCTGTCAGCAGCATTCGACACAGGTGACGGCTTGCTCTCTGGTGTGCTTTCTTTCCTTTCTTCTAGGTCGCTGCACTGTTGGGATTGTCTTCTTCTTCACTTGTTACTTCTCAGGTTCCTCTGCACTGGAGTACCCAAAGCTTAGTCCTTGGCCTTCTCTTTTCTATCTCCACTCACTCGAGGTGCTCATCTTATGTATTTGCTTAAGTCTTTGTCTCTTCACACAGCTCTCCTGAAGAACTTGCCTGCTTTCTTAACATCTGCCTGCTTGACTTCCCAGTAGACATCTCAAGTGTAACCTGTCCCAGGTAGAGCCCCTGAGATGCACTTCTTTGCCGCCGTCATCATCATCCTCCATCAAACCACACTTGTACTTGCAGACTCCCCCGTCTCAGTTGTGGCAGCCACCTCCATTCTTCCGGTCACTTACGTCAGAAACCGGGAGGGCATTCTTTTTTTTTTTTAATTGTGCTTTAAGTGAAAGTTTATAGCTCAATTTTCTCATACAAAAATTTATGCACACATCGTTATGTGACTCTAATTGCTATCCCTATGATGTGACAGCACACACCTCCTTTCCACCCCAACTTCCCGTGTCCATTCAGCCAGCTCCTGACCCCCTCTGCCTTCTCATCTCATCTCCGGACAGGAGCTGCCCATTTAGTCTCATGTATCTACTTGAACTAAGAAGCACACTCTTCATGAGTATCATTTTATGTCCCATAGTCCAGTCTAATCTTTGTCTGAAGAGTTGGCTTCGGGAATGGTTTTAGTTCTGGGTTAACAGAGAGTACAGGG